CAGCCTTTACCCAGAGAATTTATGCAAAGGTAACTGGGTGCGTGCATGCATGTGTGTGCGAACACACACACACACTTGCTTATTTTAGTATATTCCAGTGTGCAAAAATCTAATAAGGTTAAGGATGAGTCTGCATTTTATCATAGCACTTTGTGTACAGGGCCCTGACTAGACACGCAGAGGAGGCTTAGAAAAAGAAAACTCAGTCCTTGAATGTAGGGATCTTACCACCCAAGTAGGGAGACAGGCAGTCCCACATGAAACACCCAACGAACAGCGACAGAGCAGCATCTCACTTGGTGCAAAGTAGTGCAGGATTTATCCTGAGGGGACACGAGTAGATAGGAGTGTGTGTATGTGTGAAGGATAGTCATAAAGGTGACCTGAAGGAGGTGAATATTGGATCGTCTTGAACAAAGTGAGAGACAAAGTGTAATATAAGAAACACACAGAATAATTTGTGTGCAAAGAGGAGGAAGAAAGCCATTGAGTCAGGAGGGGCCAAGAAGAGTTCAGGCAGGGGCCTTGTTGAAAGACTTTGTTTTTTATGTTTTTTTAAATTAATTAATTTATTTTTGTTACAGATGTTTCTCCTTTTTCCCCCATTGACACCCTCCCCTCCTGATCCCGCCTCTGCCCAACCCCATTGTTGAAAGACTTTGAGTGTTAGATGAGAGACTTTGTAGGATGGACAATAGAGGCCCACTACTGATTATTAAGCAAGAAAATGTTGAATCCTTGCTGATTTAATTAACATGGGTTTCAGGGGATTGCTGGAGTGAAAAAACAGACTTGCTTCCTATGGCAAGGACAGTGCTTTTAAAGTAGTAGGGCTAGAAGGCAGATTAGATCCAATCCCGGTTCTGTCCCTAACCAGCAGTAGGACCTTGAACTGTGTTCCCCCTTAGTTTTCTCATCTGAGAAAGTGGTTACCTTGGGTGGTTGCCAAAGTCCCCTCCCCATCTCTGACGCCCTGTGTTCCCTAAATAACTACTTGGCCTTACCGTTTTGTGGGACTTGTCAAGACCCTTCAGTCATTAAGTCAACAAACATTTGTTAGCACCTACTGTGTGTCAATAGCAGGTAGTGAGGAAAATTCAATGAGGATAGGATATCGTGGTGAACAAAAACATATAGTCTCTTCCCCTTAGAGTTTCAGCCTACTGGAGGCAGCAGATATTTCATTGATTATAAAACTCACACTCTAACATTTCTGAAATCAAAATGCAACTTAAAAGCAATGAGTAGCATGATTTAATTGGCAGCATTTGTTATTAGTGCCACAAAGTAGTGCCACAGAATTGTACAAATAACTGTAAAATTCCAGTTGCTAATTGCTGAAGGGAAAGATACATGGTGAATGAGCTGATATGGAGAGTACTGACTGGTCCACTGAATTGGGAGGGAGGCTTTTCTGAGGAAATGAAGGCTAATAGATGTGAAGGATATGTAGTTGAGATACATGGGATTGGTGGGACGATTACCCCATGCAAAGGTGGGTACCTGATGTAGAGAACTGAGAGAAGGTGAGTGTGGCTGGAGCAAAGACTCTGGAGCTCAGCATGGGTGAGGCTGGTAGGCGGTTTGGGAGTAAATCTATCATAGCCTCCCAGGCCCTGGGCAGGGGTTTGGTCTTTACCCTAAGAACAGTGGGTAGCCATTGAAGAGTTCTAAGCAGGAAAGTAAGTAACATGGTTTGAGGTGTTTGAGGTGCATTTTTTTTCTTTTTTTTAATTCTCACCTGAGGATATTTTTCCATTTATTTTCAGATAGAGTGGGAGGGAGGGAGGGAGAGAGAAAAACATTGATGTGAGAGAGACACATTGATTGCCTCCCGAATGACCCTAACCAGCCCCAGGGACTGAACTGCAACTGAGGTACATGCCCTTGACCAGAGTTGAACCCAAGACTCTTGTTCACAGGCTGATTTTCTAACCACTGGGCTAAACTGGCCAGGATAGTCTGAGGTGCATTTTGATTTCATTGTGGTTGCAGATTGGAGTGAATGTGGGAGACCAGACGAAAGAGGTGGTACAGGGGTGGAGCAGGAAATGGAGAGGAATAGATGAATTCAAGAACTCTTTAGGAGACAAAATTAACAGGACTCCATGATGTATTGAGAAGAAAGAGAAAGGTGTGGAGAGTGACACATGTTTCTATCTTGAACAACTGGTGGCACCCATCTCTGACATAGGCAAGAAACAGCTGGAGCCTGGTAGGACCCACAAAGATGGTTACATAGCATCTGGGAGGGTAGAGAGGATCCTAAGGCAGCTTGAGGTGGGAAAGTGTGGCACAAAGAATTGGATTTCTTCCCATATTGATTAGTTTCTGACTTCCTGTTGCTGAAGAAAGTTTCAGGGAGCAGGAGCAGCTCTGATACAGGACTAGAGGAGTTGAACACTGAGTAAAGGTGATTCAAGTTAGAGTAGTTTGGCTTATCCCCTTCTTTCCTTAGGACAAGATGGATAAGAAGAAAGGAAGCATAGCCCTGGCTGGTTTGGCTCAGCAGTTAAAACGTTGGCCCACGGACCAGAGAGTCCCAGGTTCGGTTCTCACTAAGTGCACGTACCTCGGTTGCAGTTTGTCCCCGGCCCCAGTTGGGGTCGTGTGCATGGCAGCCAGTTGATGTGAGAGAGACACATCAATGTTTCTCTCTCTCTCTCTTCCCCCCTCTCTCCCTCCTGCTCTATCTGAAAGTAAATGCAAACATGTCCTCGGGTGAGGATTAAAAAAAGAGAGAGGAAACACAAATATTGGTAAAAGGCAGAGATTAGAAAGTATTTTTAAAAGCCTAGATTTCTCAACATAGAGATAATTGGGGAAGTAGGAAAATTGGGCAGCACTGAGTTGGCTCCTGGATCACCTTTCCCTGGGTCTCTTCCCTACCACCCCCCTCCTTTCAAGCAAATAGGAGGAAGGGCAGGGCCTTTTAACTGCATCTCCACACCTCAGTTTACCTAAAAAGTTTTTTGAATGAGTGACATAGTCAATGGATACATACCCAAAAGTTATAAAAGGGCAGATAGTGATAAATCTCCTTTCCACCTCAGTCCCTCTTCCACTGATTTCTTGTGTCATCTTTAGTGTCCAGTTTTTATACAGGTGATAAAAATTTGCAACACTTGCTTTTTCCCCACTTGTTTTATTTATTTTTTTATCCTCACTCACGGACATTTTTCCATTTTTTATTCAGACAGAGCGGGAGGGAGAGAGAGAAACATCGACGTGAAAGGGACACATTGAGTGGCTGCACCCGCGTGACCCAACCAGGGCTGGGGACAAACTGCAACCGAAGTACATGCCCTTAGCGGGAACTGAACCCGGGTCTCTCTGGACCGCAGGCCGACGCTCTAACTGCTGAGCCAAACCGGCCAGGGCCGAACTTGTTAATATATCTTAGAGGTTGTTTCACATCAAGATAATGAGCTTCATTCTTCTTTAATGACTGCATAGTATTTCATTTTATGTTTGCATGATTTTTTTTTTTTAAAGCATCCACGGATACTTTTTCATTTATCTTCAGATAGAATAGGAGGGGGAGAGAGAGAGAAACATTGATGTGAAAGAGACACATTGACTGGTTACCTCCCACATGACCCTGACCAGGGCCAGGGACAAACCACAACTAAGGTACATGCCCTTGACTGAAATCAAACCTGAGACTTATTGCTCCATGGACCAATGTTCTAACCGCTGAGTCAAATCGGCCAGGGCTAATTTTTTTTAAAGCATATTTTTAAAAATATGTTTTTATTGATATTTTTAGAGAGAGAAACATCAATCGGCTGTCTCCTGCACACCCCCTACTGGGGATAGAGCTGGAACCTCTCAGTCCATGGAACAATGCTCAATCCACTGAGCCACACTAGCCAGCCTGTATGTAATTTTGTAGTTCCTTACTGATGGATATTTAGGCTGATTCTAATCCTTTGTTTTAACAAATAATGCTGAAACAGAAATCTTGTATAGACATCATTTTGGCCATGTGGACTTTATCTGTAGGGTGAATATTTAGAATTGGAAGGTTCTGTATAGAAAGTATTTGTTCTTTCACTTAATCATTCATCCATTCAGTATTTATTGAGTGCCCATCATGTGCCAGATACTCTGGCAGGTGCCAGGAATCCAGCTTTCAACAAGTCAGGTATGATCCCTACCCTCGTGGAATGTTATTTCCCTCTATTAAGGGGAAACATAAAAGGGGACCAGATAGAGAATAAATTGGAAGGATCTGTTTTAAATGAGTCAGGAACACTTCTTGGAGCAAGTGAAGTAAAAGATGAGATGTGGCCAGCCGTTAGGTATAGGATGGGGAGATCTAGGCTGTTCAAAGCCTCACCCACAGGGAGAGGAGTTCAGGATCTGTAGGGGAGGAGGAGTAGAGCTAAAGAGATGACGGAGGTGACTGGATGTGGAAGATGTCAAAGAGAGTGAGTGACTAAAGATAAGGCCAGATTAGGGAGGGGGCTGGTAGTGAAGAGAGAAGAGTTAGGGAGACTAGTACTTATGAAGGACTAGTTATTATTTGTGTTTAGAGGGCTTTGGAATTGAATCTCTGAACTTGGATGAATTCAGGTGGGGAAACAGGAAAAGAGACCACTTCCTAACTGGATACTTTGTGAATGAGAGGCCACAGTTTAACTGGTTTGAAGGAGGCACAGCCTTTCCCACAGGCAGGAGAGTGGATGGAATGCTTTGGGCAGAGCCAGTCTGCCTGTAGTACAGCCTCCTTCATCTCTTCTTTGGCTTTAGCAAAATAGAAACTTCTAAAATAAAGGTGATATTGAAGGGGCTCAGCCAGCTGGCTCTGGGCTGGTAGAAAAGAGAGCAGACCTACTGAGGGTCCAGAGCTGAGAGTGGGCAGGAAATTGGTCTTGAAGACCCTTCCTCTGAACTTTGTGCTCCTTTTTTATCCTCACCCTCTGCTTCCCTTTTGCAAAAGCCCATCTCTTTACCCATCCTGGGTCCTATGACTTTTCTCTCCCTCAACAGTCGGTTCCCGATTCTGGTCCCCGGCCCCCAGCAGCGCCTGCCCCCTTCCCACCGGGGCCCCCCATGATGCCACCACCCTTCGTAAGTTCTATGTCTTTCCCTGGGCTTGGCTTTTCCAGCCTGCACTCCCTAATTCCTCAGTCCCTAGCACTGCTGCACGGTTTTTGTGTACAAAACCCTTTCTGCTACCCTTGGAAGAGGGATGGTTTTGCTGGGGTATTGGGTGGGTGTTCAGCTCTCTGTTCATAAAGTTGACAGTTCCCCCTTTGTCTTTTTATCCTTGGGACACACTGGGGCTATAGTAGAAGTAGAAGTGGAAGTAAAAAGACCCCGGTAGTATGAGGGCAGGGTAGGTTGTCTTTCTCTTTCACTACTCCTTATCTGTATTCTTTAAATATGCCACAGAAGTCAGGCTAGACTAGCAACTGGTGGTCATTGAGTAGGAGAAAAAGGGATGGGGGGCAGGGGACTAGGGAATTGGCCCTGCATCTGAGAAGCCTCTTTGGGGAGAGTTGCTGAAGAAATGGAGCCTTCCAGCTGCACTCTGGTGGTTGTTATACTTTTCTGTTCCTTCTCCCTTCCCTACCTCTTAAGAAGCTGTGTGCTGGCCTATTAGACCCATAGGAGCCCCTAATTACCAGTGTTTCTCAGTGGTGAGGAGGGAGGCAATTTCATACTTTGTGCTTCTCAAACTAAAGCCTTGGAAATGCCTCGGAGCCAGGGTGGAAGGTTTGGGTGGGAGACAAGTGGATGTTTTCTGCCAGGTCCAAGGCAGTGTCTTCTCTGCTCAGTATGTCTTCTTTTCCTCATTTCCAGATGCCCCCTCCAGGAATCCCTCCACCCTTTCCCCCGATGGGGCTACCGCCCATGAGTCAGAGACCACCAGCTATCCCCCCCATGCCACCTGGCATCATGCCCCCAATGTTACCACCAATGGGGTCACCACCACCACTCACACAGGTAATCCTCTCCTCTGCACCAGGGCCTCAGAAAACCTGTCTGTTTTTCTGGAGATGGAGATGAGAGTGGGGATCTGGATGTCAGAAATGGGTGGGAAGGTAGGGTGCTTTGGGACAGGCCCATGTGGATTTGTCTGCTGAATGACTAGAGTGACTAGAGAAAACTCTCATGCTAGGCCGGAAGCCCAGAATCCCTCAGGGATTGCCTGAGGAGATGACCCTTTGAGGATCATGACCCCAACAGAATCTCTTAGGACCCTGCCCAGCCTGTGCCTGCCCCCACCTCAGTAGCTGCTTTTTGTCTTTGTATTCACAGATACCAGGAATGGTACCTCCCATGATGCCAGGAATGCTGGTGCCCGCGGTGCCTGTCACCGCAGCGGTAAGCACTGGGGCCAGCAGGAAGCAGCTCTGTGCTACAGCACTGTGGGTCTGATTTGGAATTCAGGGATATGGCCTCCATTCTTTCTCTTTTCTCATCGGATCCATCCTGGTTCCTATCAGCACTTCCCACACTCGAGTCCTCTCCAGCCATGTATTCAGCTCTTCTCGTTCCTCACTCATCCCCAGTGGCCTATACGTTCACTGTGCCCATCTCCCTTAAGGAACACACTCATGCCAGACACTGCTTGACCTCACAGAGCTAACACTGTGGACACTTAAATATAGTCCCTTCTTCATATATTTTTGTCTCTGGAGGAAACAGCAGCACCTGAGGATCTTGCTGTACCTTCTTGTGCCGTTGCTTAGTGTAGTAGAATCTGGGCAGGATATAGAATTTGGCATCCACTGTGGAAGGGATGGGCCTCAAGAAAATACTCACAATTGAGGAAAATGAAGAAAGAAGTTACTGTGTGATTTCCCCCGGGGATCCTAGAGCCACTACCCAAGAGGGTGGGGGAAGCATGTTAGGTAGCAGAGATCCCTGAGAGCAGGACACGTGGATGTTGGCCTGGCCTGCTTCTCCATCCCCATGGCCTGGGTCCTGGGGGCCACTGGGCTTGGCCCCAACCCTTCCCCCTCCTCTTTCTTCGGCAGACGGCTCCAGGTGTGGACACCGCCAGCTGTGAGTCTTCTGGGGGCCTGCTCCCCCCAGGCTCGGAGGTTGGGGGGTACAGGGGAGAGGGAACTAGAGTCCACCCTGGATCATGCCTGTTGGGATATCAGGGAGCCTGGGATGTTGATGGGACCAAGGGATATATATATATATATTGGGGATGGAATAAGGGAGGAATAGGTGGGAATAAAATTGGGGCTGGAGCAGGAACTTAGTATCTTTCCTTTGGCTTTTCTAGCTGCTGTGGCTGGGACAGGCCCTCTGGTGAGTTCTTTCAGCTCAGGGATCTTTGGGTAGGAAGGCTGAAAATGGGGGGGTTAATGGTTCAGTCTTTGGGGTGAGAAGAAGCTTTGAGAAAGTAGCTTTGACCACCATTCTGTGCCCCCCTTCCTCCAGAGGGCCCTATGGAGTGAGCACGTGGCCCCTGATGGGCGTGTCTACTACTACAATGCTGACGACAAGCATTCCGTGTGGGAGAAGCCCAGCGTGCTCAAATCTAAGGCTGAGGTCCTGAGCGGGGCTTTCTGGCCCTTCCTTTCAGCTGCACTGATCCTTCCAAGTCTTGTTCTCCCCTGAGTCTATAACCATATACATCATGGTTCCTCTGATCCCAAGATCCCTGACACTCCAACCTCCCTAGGATCTCAGGAAGTCCACCTTCCCTCATGTTTAGCCAGGCCAGGTGATAGCTAAAAAACTCCTGTGTCCCCTCTACTCACTGGGTCTCCTTAGCTTTTTCAGCTGTGGCTGGAGGGCATACCCAGCCCACTGATGTCTTCTGACCCATCTTCTTACAGCTGCTGCTGTCCCAGTGTCCTTGGAAAGAGTATAAGTCAGACACAGGCAAACTTTACTACTATAACAACCAGAGTAAGGAGTCCCGCTGGACCCGGCCAAAGGACCTGGATGACCTGGAGGGTGAGGATGGGGTGGGCCCGGGCAGGGGCTCTTTGGGGATGGTCCTTGCTATCCTGTAACCATGTTACCTTTTCCCTTTGCAGCTCTAGTCAAACAAGAGGCAGTAGGGTGAGTAACTTGCCCACCTTGCCCACCTATCCAGACATATTTGGGGCTACCTGAGGTATGGGAGTGGACTCTCTCCTCATAATCCCTGCTCTATGGAATGAAGAGCCAGCTCTTAGTTTCCTTGTGGAGTGGTCCACTGTCCTCAGTCCTTTTCAATACAGAGGGTCCTGCCAGCCCCTGACTACATATATCCCTGCTCCACTCCTGGACTCTGCCCTTCTGGCTCGCCTGCAGGAAACAGCAGCAGCAGCAGCCACAGACACTACAGCCGCAGCCTCCTCAGCCACAGCCTGACCCACCACCTGCACCTCCTGGCCCCACCCCAGTGCCTATGGGCCTCCTGGAACCTGAGCCAGGTGGGAGTGAAGATTGTGATGTATCAGATGCTGCCCAGTCCCTGGAGCAGGGGTTCCTGCAGCAGCCAGAAGAGGGCCCCAGCAGGTGAGGGCTGTCCCCACAATATTCTGGGTGCTGGCCTCAGGCTCCCAGCCTGGTTCAATCTTTTACCTCTGCTAGGCCTCTTGGGAAGGGTGTGGAGATCTGGGCATGACCTCTGAAAAGCAGAAAAGGGCTGCTCTAGGGAGCAAGAAGGGAATGGTTTGTTATTGATCATCCAGGGCACTGAAACCAATGGGGACTGGGGGATTCTGTGGCTAAGTCTCCTTTGCCCCCCAGTTCTGCTGGACAGCATCAGCCACCACAACAGGAGGAAGAGGAGTCAAAGTCAGAACCAGAGAGGTCTGGCCTCAGTTGGAGCAACCGTGAGAAGGCAAAACAGGCCTTTAAGGAGCTGCTGAGGGACAAGGTGTGGAGGGTGGGGCTCCCAGGGTAGGACTGGAGGGGGCTGGAGGTGGCCAGGCTCTGTGACACCTACCTGCTCCATTCCAGGCTGTCCCCTCCAATGCCTCATGGGAACAGGCCATGAAGATGGTAGTCACCGACCCCCGTTACAGGTAGGCCTGGGCAGAGGGAGCCAGGCCTCCAGATGCTGTTCATGAGGGCAGCTGGGTCATGGACTCCTTGAGAAACCCTAGCTCAATACTTGGGCTCCAAGGGTCCAGAGTTAGGAGAGTAGAAATGGATGAAGTTCGATGGGAAGAGAAACTATAGAGGGCCTCCAGGAGGAGGGAAAGGTATCTGACGTGAGACATTCAATAAATGCGTGTTGAATTGAATTGATTGAATTAATTGGGAAAAGGGGGCAGGATAGGGCAGACTACTTACTGACTGCAGTTTGAGCACCCAAAACATAAGAGCTGAGTTTCATCAGTGTCCTGGAGCCTGTCTCTTCCCATTACTACCTCTCTCCTCTCCCCACATCCGAGATCTTTCTTGCCTTCCTGTGCCCTGGAGTCCCTGCAGCCTTCTGTGCCCAAGCATGGACCCCTCACTCAGTTCTGTGGAGACCTGTCCCAAATGTGCCATGAACCACGGGGTGGCTCAGGCTGACTCCTCTATTCCCACCCCAGTGCCTTGCCCAAATTGAGTGAGAAAAAGCAGGCATTCAATGCCTACAAGGCGCAGCGGGAGAAGGAGGAGAAGGAAGAGGCCCGGCTAAGGGCCAAGGAGGCTAAACAGACCTTGCAGCACTTCCTGGAGCAGCATGAACGCATGACCTCCACCACCCGCTACCGGTCAGGGGCCTGGGCTGGGGTGGGGCTGGGGAATCCCAAGAACACGTGTGCACAGGGTCTCTGCTCTCTGCCTGCATACCCACAGCCCATGTGTTCCACAGGCGAGCAGAACAGACCTTTGGGGAGCTGGAGGTCTGGGCTGTGGTCCCTGAGAGGGATCGAAAAGAGGTTTATGATGATGTCCTCTTCTTCCTGGCCAAGAAGGAGAAGGTAACAGTTACTGGGCAGGTTTGTCATCCCCAGTCTCATCTTAGACTCTTCATGTCTTTGTTCCTTCTGGACCCTCGTCATTGATTTCTCCAATGCCCCAGGGTCCCAGCTCCTTACTCAAGCTGGTGTGGCACTGCACATCCCTTCATTTCTGCTCTGGGCCCATAACCCTGGGCATGGGAGACAGGAAGGACTCTCTGAGGGGTTAGTCTGTAACGTGTGCTCCTTCCCCTTTTTGGGGACATGAAAGCCTTACATCTGGCTCTCCTAGGGTTCCCTAGCTATCTTCCTTTTCCCAAAGTTCTCCTCAGCCCAGGCCTGCTTAAGTACTTTCGGCCTGCCCTGCCTCCTCAGGAACAGGCCAAGCAACTCCGGCGCCGCAATATCCAGGCCCTGAAGAGCATCCTGGATGGGATGAGTAGTGTCAACTTCCAAACCACATGGTCACAGGCCCAGCAGTACCTCATGGATAACCCCAGCTTTGCTCAGGACCATCAGCTTCAGAGTAAGCCTGGGACTCCACTCCCAGCTGTCCCTTCCCCTTTCTTCACTGACCAGGGTCCCCATAGCCTATTTCACACATCTCCCCTGTGCCTCCTGCCCTCCTGGACATCCAGGAATCCCCAGTACTCAGTCCCAGTAGCTCGCTGCACTCTGGAGATCCCAGAATGCTCACATTACCTCCCTCTGGGGTCCACTGTTGACATGGACCCGAGATGTGTATCCTTGGAGGAAGAGCTTGGGCTAGGAATCAGAAGACCTGGAGGTGGCCCTGGCTGGTTTGGCTCAGCGGTTGGAGCCCTGGCCTGCGGACCAGAGAGTCTCGGGTTCGGTTCCCACTAAGGGCACGTACCAAAAAAAAAAAAGAAGAAGACCTGGAGATGATGACTTTTATAACTGATGTAAATTGTCTTAAATTGTTGTGGCACTGTGGGCATTAACTGGCCATACATGTTACAATAAGCTGCCGTTGGCCTGTAATCACTGGTAATATCAGAAATTCACCTGAAGTTGCATCATAGCCTGATTGATTCCCAGTTCCATAAACTGAAACCTTCGATCCCAAGAGAACTGATTTCATAAACATGAGTTTGGTAATTAAAATTACAAGAGCTGAATTCTTGCTGATTTTTTTCTCCTTCAATTAGTGATCCCTCCTAAAGAACAACCGTTCAAGTACCCCCTCCCACAGAGCTCTCTCTTTACCTTGCCTGCACACCATCCTGGCTGTGCCCAGCACCTACGGGGACGGTATCCTCAAAGTGGTGGGGCTGGGGGGTACTGAGTGTCCCATTGGTACAGTGCCCGCTGAACCTCTTCTCTTCGGTTAGACATGGATAAGGAAGATGCGCTGATCTGCTTTGAGGAGCACATCCGAGCTTTGGAGAGGGAAGAGGAGGAGGAGCGGGAGCGGGCCCGGCTTCGGGAGCGGCGCCAGCAAAGAAAGAACCGGGAGGCCTTCCAGGTATCTTTGCCACTCCCTGGATCAGAGCTCAACTCTGCCCTGGACCATAGCCTCTTCACCCTTGCTCTACCTTCTCAGTCAGGCCCACTGTTTCATCAGTGCCCAGCCCTGTCCCACCTCCGCAAGGCCTCTTTATGCCTGCAGGTCTGCCATGCTGTGTCCCAACTTGGCCTTGCCCCTCTAGGATGATGAGGTGTATGCACCACCCAGAAACTGTTAACAGAGAGCACCCTAAAGGCACAGCTTAGCAGCTAGGCTGTTTTATTTCCCTTTGATGAGGAGCCAGGCAGGCATAACTTATCCCCCAGGTTGGAGGTCAGTGGTGGTGGTAGTAGTGGGGGTTACTTAGCTATAACACACAGGAAAGTTGAAACCAAGTCATAGGAAGATTGTGCTGCAGGCAAGTTTCTGTTTCTTTTCCTTCTAGCCTGGCTCACTCATGTTTTAGTCTGGCCCTCTTTGTATTTACATTCTCTCCTTTCACATTTCTCTCTGCCTCCCCATCTGTATTTCTTCATCTCTGCCTCCTAGGCCTGCATTTCCTCAATTTGGATAGTCCCTGCCTCTCCTGCCATTCCCTCTCTTCCTCCTCAGTCTTTGGCTCCACCTTCCTCCTTGTCTCACTCTCCCTATAACTGGCCTTTCCCTGCTCAGACCTTCCTGGACGAGCTGCACGAGACAGGGCAGCTGCACTCTATGTCCACCTGGATGGAACTATACCCAGCGGTCAGCACTGATGTCCGCTTTGCCAACATGCTGGGCCAGCCGGGTAAGGCAGCCGGGCTCCCCTTCTCTGGCCTGGCTTCCTGCCCTGCCGGCCTCTCTGCATCCCCACTCCTGGGTCCTGTCCTTGACCCTACCCCCAGGCCTTGGGAAGCTGCCACCGCCAGGCCCCCCTCCCTCCCTCCCCCGCAGGCTCCACCCCTCTGGACTTGTTCAAGTTCTATGTGGAGGAGTTGAAGGCACGATTCCATGATGAAAAGAAGATCATTAAGGACATCCTTAAGGTGAGGGAGGCCTGGGGTTGTGGGTGGACACAGGCTGGGTACAGGGCACGTTCTCCAAACCGGACTCCCTGATAAGTCCTGTTTTGCAGGAGCATTGCAGCTCAGTTCAGCAGATATCTACTGTGTGACCCTTTACTGTGCACTGGGGACACAGAAATGAATAAGATAAACCATTTCTGCCCATAAGGAGCTCACGGCCTGATAGGAAGATAGACGTGACAACTTTATACAGAGGGGCAAGTGTCATTGCAGAGCCGAGAATCAGAAGAATTGACATTTTAACTGCACCTTTAAGAATGAGTAGGTGGAGGAGGGTAGAGGTCCTGGGCATAGAGAACCACAGGTGCAAAGGTGAGGCGGGACGGCATGGTGGGTTTGAGGAGCAAGAAGCATAGTTAATCATAAAACTCACAGATATATTTCTTTTGGTCTGACCAGTGTTTTATTTTTTGTTAATTCGCACCCGAGGATATTCTTTCATTGATTTTTAGATAGAGTGAAAGGCAGGGAGGGAGGGAGACAGAGAGACAGAAAGACATCGATGTGAGAGAGACACATTGATCAGTTCTCTCCAGCACAACCCTGACTGGAGCTGGGGATCAAACCTGCAACCTAGGTATGTGCCCTTGACTGGGAATCCAGCCTGTGATTCCCCTGGTCCTCAGGCCAATACTCTAACTGCTGAGCCAAACCGGCCAGGGCTATGTTTTAGAAAAGTTTAGAATTTCTGCTAACATTTTAAGATCAAGAGGTTACACATCTTCACGTTCTTTTGGAAATTTGGATTATCTAGTAATACTGGGCCGGTTTTGCAAGGCACTCATTAGACTCCAGCTGAGATGCCACTGCCTCTTAGAAGGCAGCAAGTTCAGACCAGTATTTACCATCATACTTTTCTTACACTGGAGAAGTAGTTCTGAATACCCATCTATTGAAGGTGGAAAAGTGAACGGTGGACTAAGAGAGCCGTGTGTTTCAGAGGAAGAAAACAGAAAGCACACTCCTTTGTGGAAGTGAAGAACATTCTAAGGCACTTGAGGAGGCAGGAGGCATAGTTGTTAGGAGCATGACTGGAGGCAGACTGCCTGGGGTAAAGGTCCTATACATTGAGGTTCTGCATACAATTTTTATTGAAAAAATGTTTCTGCTGTTAAAAAAAAAAAAGTTTTAAATGAGTAGGATAATCACTCAGAAGTAAAATTTACAGATTTTTGTGTGTATGGAATTGAGGGAAAGGAAGGAATGAGGTAGGAGGGGGTGATGGCACATTGGTAAGGATTAAGCAGGACGAACAGTGCTGGAGAAAATAGGAATTCCATTTGGGAAATTATTTCAACTTACTAGTTGTGTGACTGGGCAGATTATTTAACCTTCCCGAGCCTCAGTTTCCTCATCTGAAAAACGGGAGTTTTCCACCAAAGTATACCCAATTACGAAGGGGAGTAACTTAGTACTTACTGTAGGTGAGAAAGATCTGAGAATAAAGCTAAAGATGTACCACTGCACACATTTCATGTGCTCTGCCTTACAAGTTCATGCAGGTATTGCATTTTAGTACCATGTTACTTCTCTGTTTAATGTAAACTTAATATTTTAAAATTACTGACCTTAAGTAAGACATATCATATTGTCCTATGGCTTCCTAAATTTCTCTGGAACCACTTGTCCCAGTTTGGAAATAGAGCCCTGCCTGTAAATTCCTTGAATGCTAAAATAAGAAGTTTGGATTTTTATCTTGTAAGTAACGGGGTACCAGGGAATGATCTGATCAAATGATGTCTTGGAAAAGCCCTGGTGAGTGTCGAGTAGTATTTCTCAGACTGACTGTTGTATCCTTAGGAATAGAATAGTACCTGAAGTCTCCAGATACTAAAGGTGATAGTGGCAAGTAATTCAAATAAATTCTGAGCTTGAGTCATCCTCTTCTGACTCCCCCAAAGACCACTGCCCTGCTGTGGTAGAAAAGTGCGAGCAGCCCTGGATTCTCAAGGCTGAGTCAGAGATGTGGGAGGTGAGCAGGGAAACCAGTCTGGAGGCTACTACAGTGAACTAGGTGGGAATTGAGTTCAGGCAGAGCACTGGGGATGGCAGATGAGAGAGCTCCCTGCTCCCACTATTTCTGAGACTCCCTAGGTTTCTTCAGAGGTGCCTTGGGACAAGCATATGGGGGAGGTTATGGTCCTTCCTCAGTTTACACCTACAGCAGCTTGTTTCTCCTATACATTGAGGTTCTGCATACAATTTTTATTGAAAAAATGTTTCTGCTGTTAAAAAAAAAGTTTTAAATGAGTAGGATAATCACTCAGAAGTAAAATTCACAGATTTTTGTGTGTGTGGAATTGAGGGAAAGGAAGGAATGAGGTAGGAGGGGGTGATGGCACCATTGGTAAGGATTAAGCAGGATGAACAGTGCTGGAGAAAATAGGAATTCCATTTGGGAAATTATTTCTAAAAACAACCTGGGAGCAGGGAGGAATAAAGTAAATACCATATATTAATTAAATAGAATAATCATATAAAGTAGAAATATCTAGTCCCCAGGAGAGCTAAATTTTTTTTTTTTTTTAATCCTCACCCGAGGACATTTTTCGATATTTTGTTCAGATAGAGTGAGAGAAACATCGACGTGAAAGCGACACATCGAGTGGTTGCCACCCACACAACCCAACCAGGGCTGGGGACAAACTGCAACCAAGGTATGTGCCCTTAGCGGGAACCGAACCCGGGTCTCTCCGGACCACAGGGCGACGCTCTAACCGCTGAGCCAAACCGGCCAGGGCCAGGAGAGCTAAATTTTATTGGACGTTTAACTTTTAGCCACAGAGTGTTGGTACTACTGATAGGCCTGCAGGCCTGTCCTCGCTGAGTCCTGTTTTCTCCACACCTCTGGAGAAAGAAGCTTCTTTAGGCAGTTCCACTTCCTGTCCCCCCTTTTGGGATCCTGCCTCCAGAAGGCCGGACAAACCCAGGACCCCCTGTGGCCATCTACCAGTCAGGCAGTCTGTGATGGTGCCTTGTCCCAGAGGATGATGCCAAGAGCCCCACACCTGGAACAACTGGAAGACAGAAGATCTGGGGCTGGGAGATGTGTGGGGAGGGGTGGGCAGGTGCTCATGAGAAATGAATTTTCTTAGGATCTGCTGAATTTGAAGTGTCTATGAAATATCCAATCTAGTATGGGTCTGAAATTGAGAGAGGTGGAGAATGAGATTGCTAGGGACAGTGTCAATTGAAAATACTAAGTGCTGTTCTCAGGTGAATAAGTGCATGCAAGAGAGGTAGTAAAAGAGGTCAGAGAGACAGCAGGGGACCTTGGAGAGGGGAGCTTTGAGGAAGTGAACAGCAGAGATGCTAAGGACCAGATGAGCAAGGACCAGGAAGGGACCTTATTAGGAGAGCAGTGTCCATGAAGAGGGTAGAGTGGGTACAGCATGGCCTTAGATAACTCCTAAGTTGTTTATTGGTTGAGACCTCTGCAAGTTATATAATGGCTCTGAGCCTCAGTTTCCTCATCTGAAAAATGGGGATAATTTTATATGCAGGGTTGTGAGAATCTAATAACATTTGTAATGTTTTGCTTATGGTAGGCTCAGTACATGTTTATTCATTTTCCTTTGTGCTACATTTAAAGATTTTGAAACAAAGGAAAAGAAGCAGGTTGTTAATTAAGCCTGAGGAAGGTAAGCGCAAGGTGGGAAGTTCCAGGTTAAGTGAGGTGTGTGCTTCATGAAAGGATCCAGTGAAGAGATTGAAGCGTTCAGTTCCCTAAGAGAGAAAATGATACATTTGAGAAAGGCTAGAGAGTGTGAGCTGAGAAAGTCCTCTTGGAAGAAGCAAGAAGAGTATGCCTTTGCCATCGGCAGGAAGGCTGGAGCAAGTTAGAGCTGTGTGGAGGGAGAGGAAGGAAGTTGGGCCTGTGTCCCAGCTAACTGGAGATCCAGATTTCAAACTGTAGTGGCTCCACTCTCTACTAAGTTGGCTTGGGCTAAGTGAGATAACATTTCTAAGCCTGTGTTTTATTGGGGTGTTAGGAGGCTTAGATGAGAATCACAGAGCTCGGCCCATGCTGCTTTGAGAATGTGAGGTGTTTGTAGTACTGTTTGGGAGTTGCACACCTGATGGCCTCTGTTTCTCCCAAGTAATCTGTGTGGGTGTAGTGCCTACAAATATGGGCTTTGGTGTTAGAGAGATCTGGGATAGAGTTCTCACTTAGCCATGCATTTATTACCTATTTGGCTTTGGGCTAGTGCTCTAGTTTCTCTAAACCTTGGTTTCTCCTCCTGCGTAAAATTAGATTAGGATTTATGCTTAAATTTAAATAAGTGAGGATTAAATGAGATGTGTGTGAAGCACTCAGCTTGGTAGATGGTACTTAGTAAGCACTCAATAAATAGAGCCACAGAGTGGGACCAGCAGAGGTTGACTGAGAATGCAAGGAAGTTACTGAGCAGCAGGAAAGCCCAGAAGGGGCCCAAGCTTTAAGCCAAAGGAACAAAGAACTTAATTGTGTTTCTATGCCCATACTCCCCAGAACATGCCCCATCTCGTCTGATCTCAGAAGCTAAGCAGGGTCAGGCCTGGTTAGTACTTGGATGGGAGTCCACCTGGGAATATCAGGTGCCGTAGGCTTTTAAAAAACTAATTGTGAGCAACTCAGACATTAATCAGCAGACATGGCAGACACACACATACACTCTGCCTCCCCTCTTCCCCATGTGATCCAACCCTCCAGCTCCCTGTGACCACAGCAAGGATAGGCATTAATCATTAGATGGTGAGGACTTGGGACAGTTTGGTTTCTGAGTGCATCTCTCGTATGGATCTCTTGGGGTGGGGGACTTCTTGAGCATCCTATAGTTGGACCCCTCCATCTTGCCCTGGAGGTGCCCCTTGCTTCATGCGCTGCTGTGCCCACAGGACCGGGGCTTCTGTGTGGAGGTGAACACAGCCTTTGAGGACTTCGCCCACGTCATAAGCTTTGACAAGAGGGCTGCTGCGCTGGACGCAGGCAACATCAAGCTGACCTTCAATAGTGTGAGGGGTTGGGAGGGGCGGGGCTGTAGCCAGGGCTCCTGCTCAAACTCACCCTGTGTCTTGTTTCATTCTTTCTTGATCACTGCCCCAGTATAACTACCCCAGTTCAGGGGATGATGGTAGGAGCCCAGACCCCAACTTCCCACCTCCTAAGATATGCCTGAGTGGGGCCCAGGCACCCACCCTCCTGGGTGACCCTTTTCTGTGTGCTTTCTGCCCTCAGCTACTGGAGAAAGCAGAAGCACGGGAGAGAGAGCGGGAGAAGGAGGAGGCACGAAGACTGCGGCGCAGGGAAGCTGCCTTTCGAAGCATGCTGAGGCAGGCCGTGCCTGCTCTGGAGCTGGCCACTGCCTGGGAAGAGGTCAGGACTGCAGCCTGGTGCCACGCCACCCCCTCAGTCCTGAGGGCAGCGGTGCTTCTCTACCACTGGGGGCCCACCCCAGTCATAACACAGCTGGGGCCAGCTCCGGCTCCCTTCCTTCCTCCGCCCCAGCCCTGCCCTGTGCTCATGGCGGCACCCATGCTGTGCCGGGGCTGGTCTGATCAGCAGTGCTCTCCCGTTCAAGGTCCGTGAGCGCTTTGTGTGTGACTCAGCCTTTGAGCAGATCACCCTGGAGTCGGAGCGGATCCGGCTCTTCCGGGAGTTCCTGCAGGTACTGGAGGTGAGGCAGAGCTTCTGGTCCTCTGCATCTGTCCCAGGTGCTTGAACACCTGAGGCCAACTCCACAGAGACTTCACCCTGCCCCCTCCAGCTCTCCTTTCCCTGGACAACTAAGGAGGGGAAGGTCTTAGGTGCCCTGGATAGGCCCAAGGCTCAAGCCTCAGAGGACGCAAACCAGATTTTAGGTTGCAGGATCCTTCCTGAGGCTAACCCAGTTACCTTCCTTACCCTCCCTCTGCCTCTTCCAGACTGAATGCCAGCACCTCCACACGAAAGGCCGAAAGCACAGCAGAAAAGGCAAGAAGCACCATCACAAGCGTTCTCACTCACCCTCAGTAAGTTGGTGGGTGGGTTGAGGGATGTGGGTAAGGCTGTACTGTCTTGGGGAAATAAGAACAACTTTTCTTATTTTTTTCCCTATATCATCTCCCCTGGAGGGAGATCGGAGCATTCCTTTGGCCCTGGATCCTCCCAATTTCAAGACTTGAGGGCTTTTGGAGGCCAGGGAATGTCTGTGCTGACATGTATCTGCTGATTTGCCCAGGGCTCCGAGTCGGAAGAGGAGGAGCTGCCCCCACCATCTCTCCGGCCTCCCAAACGGAGACGGCGGAACCCCTCCGAATCTGGCTCTGACCCCTCTTCCTCACTTGATTCAGTTGAAAGTGGGGGTGCTGCCCTTGGAGGACGAGGCTCCCCATCCTCCCGCCTTCTCCTTGGATCAGGTAAGCAGTGGGAGCTGGAGAAGTTAGCCCAAACTGAGAGGAGGCCCTGGGGAGCCCCAGTCCCTGAGGGTAGAGGGATTGGGAGGGCTGCACCAGTTGAAGTAGGAACTTCTCATCCCTGGAAGGGAGGAAAACAACTGAGACTTCCTCAGGAAGGTCCCTGTATGTGAAGAGTGAGCAGATAGATGGACTGTGGCAGAGGAAAGGGTGATCCCTCGCTTCTTGCATGGAACTTAGTGGGAGGGTTTCTATCTCTAGATCATGGCCTTCGAAGAGCCAAGAAACCAAAAAAGAAAACTAAAAAGAGAAGACACAAGTCGGTGCGTAGAGAAGGAACTTCTGCCCAAGCCTGCTATTGTGTGAGATCTCTTCCACCCGCCTCCGGGCTGTCCTTCACAGGAACTGAGGAGGCGGGCTCTGGACTCTTACAGAACAGTCCTGAGAGTGTGACAGACCCTGAGGAGAAAGCTGGCAAGGAGAGTGATGAGAAAAAAACAGAACAGGACAAGGACAGGGAGCTCCGGCTGACAGAGCTCCCTAATCGCTCCCCAGGTTTTGGAATCAAAAAGGAGAAGGTGAGAGGCAGGTGCCTGGTCCCAGCCCAGGCAGCGCTCTGTCCAGGCCTCCATGGCCCTCAGGGGAGGCTGTGGGTGAGCTGTGCCTTTGCTCCACCAGACGGGCTGGGACACATCAGAAAGTGAGCTGAGTGAGGGTGAGCTGGAAAGGCGGCGGCGGACACTCCTGCAGCAGCTGGATGACCACCAGTGACCTGACCAGCAGCTCTGTCTTGGGTCTGTGTGAGGCTGTGGCTGCTAGGTCACCCTCACCATCTGCCCCAGACTCCTTCCTTAGTCTGGTCTGTTCCCATTTTTCTTCAAGTAACCCCACCCCCAACGCACTATTGCCAGCACCTCCTGAGGTTGCTCATGGTGTTCAAGGGTCCCCCACTTCCCGAACAACTAGTGCAGTCCTTGCCCTTAGACCCACATGAGATTGGTGGTATATGCCATGTGGGGTTGGGTGGTGCCAGTAGCTAGAATGTGAGAAGGGGCCTCCAGGGAAGAGTGACAGGCTGGTGGACACAGCCTGGGTGACAGAGGGTGGGGTCCTTACCCTCTAGCATCAGTGCCTGTTCCTGCCTGCCCGGGGCCCTGGGGCTCTACCACTCCTTCCTCCAGCCCTGGGACCCAGTGTATGTGTGTTTTGTTTTGGTTTTGTTTTATAAATAATAATATTTATAACACAGCCAGGAACTCTTTTGTCTTCATATGCTACTGGGGTGGGCTGGGGACTGGGCAGGTGCACCCATGGCCAGCAGAGGGTGCTAGTGTCTCATGGCAAGCCTGCTTCCCTTTGTGTGGCTGGAGCCCACGCAGCCTGGTTCCCCTCCCCAGGTTTCTGTGCTCACCTCCAAGTAGATGGCAGCCTTGCCCAGCCTTCTCTCTATCCACATGGCTCAGGTCAAGCTAAATGGCACCCTAACCCTCCACACTCAAAGAGGAGACAGAGTCAGGCCTGGTGCTTCAAGCTTTTGTTGAGAAAGAGAAGGGCTAGGGTTTATGTACAAGAGAGAAGGGAGATGATACATGTACAAAAAGGAGTGGGCCCCTGTATTCCCTTCCAGGGACTAAGAAACTGGCAGGGGACTGAGAATATAGCCAGTTAAGACCACCATGCCCCCTGCTCCCTCAAAAAAAAACCTAGCTAAAGAAAGGAGATGAAGATGTTGGCACACCCTTTCTCTAGCTGTCTTGGGGCTAGGACAGAGAAAAACCCCTCTGCCCACCTCAGCAAGGATGGAGCCTGGACTGGAAAGAGCCAGGCCAAGGACAGTATGGTATCTGTCCTCTATCCTTATCACTAGGACACAGCTGAGTGGGGCCCAGGAGGGCCTTGCCAGGGGTGAAATATGATCTGAGATTGGGTTCCCAGGGCTCACCAAGCCTGGACACCTCCACTTGTCCCTCTGGCTCTACTGACCAAGTGGCCAAGGTACTAAGGCTGGAAATGGTTTTTTCCAGCCTTGAGCTGACCCTTCGTGACCCTTCAGGAAATTAAATTGAAGACCTTGGAGGCAAAGTGCAGTATTGGAGGCACCAGGGCCCGTGCCAGGCCCCAAAAGACCTACTGCCCACAGTGGTGGCAGGCAAGATGCAGCTTTGAGAGCTGGGGTGGGCACTGGGTCAGGAGCAGCATAGCCTTCTGCTGGGCCCTTGGCCAATTCCAGGGCTCCAATCCAGGTCCACTGGTTGGACTTGCAGGACTCTTGAGAGTTGAAGTGCTTCTGCCTCCTAGAGGGTTTCAGTGGGGGCCTGGAGCCCGGGGGGGGCCAGTGGGTGGGGCCACACTCCTGGCTTGGTGGCAGACCACAATGGGCCAGTGGTGGAGACCTGTGGGAGAGACAAAGGCCTGTGAACAGGCAGGGCAGCTAGGCCAGGCCGACCCTCTGTAGGAACAGCCCCTTCAGGAGCAGCTCACAGACAGGGCCAGAGAAAAGCCAGCCACGAGTCAGATGAGGGAGAAGCTTAAAGATGCTGAAGGGATGGTCAGGAAGATGGCTGGGGCTCTACATTTTCAGAAAAACAAGTGGGTACTGGGCAGTGGCAGAAACAAGGTAGACTTAGCAAGAGTTAGAAGCTGGAAAGAGACTGCTGGCAGATTGGATACCTGGAAACAGGTCATGGGACATCCAACACCCCTGGGCAGACACTACTGCTAGTGCTCTTAGGAGGGGTCCCAAGAAGGGAGCAAGGACAAAGTACACCCAAACCCAGTAACAGAGCCTCAGGCTCAGCCATCAGAGGCAGTGGCCTGGTCCCTACCCCTTGGTCTTAGTAGAAGCTAGAACAGCATTAGTGGGAGAGATACCACCTCCCTGAAGGCACATGCAGGGCATAAACCATGCTTCTCAGAGCATGGGACATGCGAGGAGGTAAGTGTGTGTCCTCATCATCAAGAGGCAGCCAGAGGATGGTGCCAGGTCATGCAGAGGAGAAAGTGCCTGTGGACCCCAGCAGGAGTCCTGGGAGGTGGGCATGCAAGGGGCAGCTGTAGTGCCCAGTACCTGTCAAGGGCCCCAGCCTTAGGGGTTAACAGTTTGATTCATCATGGTGGGCTGCATCGCAGAAGAAGCGTGAGCCCCGCTTGGCAGTACGGGCCGTGAAAGGGACACTCTTCAGCACTGTGGCCCAGGAGAGAGACACCGTGGTCAGGACCCAAGGGGGTGGGGTTGGAGGAGAACCCAGGGAGTATGATTGGGTTTGGGGAGCTGAGCCCAGCACCCAGGCCCCAGGAAAGACAAAGGCCCCACCTGTGATGATGTCCTCAATGGTACCATCTTTCCCTTCGTACACAGGTCGATGCTCCTTGGCCTGGCGCCGCCTCAACTCGGCAATTAGCTCCTGCTGTTGCCACTTATTCCGCTGGGATGGGGTCTAGGGCCAAACATTTGAAGGGAAGGGAGTGATCACTAACCTACAACGGAGATAGTTCCTGCCCCAAGATGCAGTCTAAGGACGCCCTTGATTGTGAACAGCAGCCCAGCCCCAGTCCTTGCCTGGGAATCCCCTCCCAAATCCCCTCTCTCCATCCCTTTGGATGTCAGCCTCAGGCCCTCTGGGTGGTCTATGGGCTCCAGCTTTCCATCTCTTTTTCATTTGCTCCACCCTCTCCTAATCCTTTGCCTGGTTTCCTCCAGGCCAGGGCTCTTGGTCCCACCCACCTTGGCATCCAGTTTCTTGGCTTCCTGAGCCAGCTGCTTCTCCCGCATTACCTCCTCCTGCTTCTTGCGGGTTTCATTCTCTTGTTCTGCTTCCTAAGAACCATGGTGTGTGTGTGAGGGGGCTGGGTTGTGAGGCTCACATAGACTGTCAGGGGAGGGACTGACTCTAAGGGTGGAGAGTGGGTGGCAGTGGGACCAGCAACCCCAGGTGGCCACCCTCTGGAGGGGCACTTCCTGCCCCAAACAATGACAGGAAGGGCCTGGGCCCCCACCCTGCCCACTAGTTCACAGCTAAGGCCTATGGCCAGCTTCCATCACTCCCTCCCAGGACTCAGAGGAAGACGGAAAAGGCCCAGACTTGAAGCCCAACCCTCTCTCCCCTGACCAGTTTTCTCTTAGCCTTTTTTCTTTAAAAGCCTCTCTCCTGCTCACCTTGTAAGAACGAATGAATCGGACAAATACTGGGAAGAATACAGAAGGAGGTGTGGTCTTGGGACTCTCACCGAAGTAGCGCACAACTGCATTGTAGGCCTCCTGGGGAAGGGTGGGCAGAAGGGGTCAGCCTGGCAGGGAAGGAGAAGCCTGGCTCCCCACCAGGGACAGGAGGCCCACAGAAAGCAGCACCCAGCCCCTATGGGCTGGAAATGAACCCACATTCCCAAAGTTCCCTAGAGTGCATGTCACCAGAGGCAGCTGCCTGCCATCCCCAACAGGCCTCCCACCCAAGCCCCATTAACCCAGCCTGCCAGTGCTTGATAAAAGTTCTTTGATCCAAGAACCAAAACTAAGCCCACATAGAGGGCCTTAATCCTCGTTGCTGCCACCAGCCCCCACCCTGTGCTCACCTCGGCTGTCTTGGCATCACGCTGGAGCTTGTCTAGTTTGCCTTCATTGGTGCTGAGGAAGTTCCGAAGGACACTGTTGTCATGTATGCTGCACTCACGCCGAATCAGCTCCATGCCCCGGCCCAGCTCCTTCACATCTAGCAGCACGTTCTCCAGGGACACTGATTACCAGAATCCAGGCTGAGGCCTGCCCAGGGCCTGACATACTCACCTCCCAGCCCCGGGCTACAGTGAACTCTGGCCCTTCTCAGCATAAGCTCACTCAGGGTCTCACGCTCCTGCTTCTTGAGCCCCCCGGGTGGACACAGAGAGGGTATACCAAGCTAGCCAGGCTCTCACAGGGGCAAGGAAAATGAATGGAGGCTGGGAACTTAGGACCCTAATGGGCAAAGTAGCAAGGAAGGCAAGACAGAGAGACTACTGGTCTTCAAAACAGAGCTGCCTCAGGCCTCCCCCGTTTTCATGAGTGGGGCAGAAATAATAGCTACCTATGTCTGAGGGGCTTTATGGTTTTTCTAAGCACTTCCCACACGTCAGAGAAATGCAGTCTGGGGCCAGCCTGAAGGAGCTGGAGTGAAGAACCACTGCTGCCTTCCTCTGCCTGCTCCCACCGCACCCCGTGAGAAGGGCTGGGCTGGGGCTGGTGCCTGCAGGAAGGCTCCCTCTGGGGTAGCCCCTGCCCATGGCACCAGCAGAAAGCTTTGAAGTGGTCAGAAAGAAGACAACAAAAGCCAGAAACGAAGGGACCTGAGTGTTCCCTGTCATAGATTCCTGAGATTGTCATGAGCTGAACATGAGAATAGGCTTCCCTCACCTGCTGCAGCCTTCTCCACAAAGTGTAGCTCGTGCCAGAAGTTGGCCAAGTCTGGGTATTTCTCCTTCACCGTCAAGGCAATGAAATGTAGCAATGTCATTTTCCTGTCGGTAGACTTGGTGTCCAGCAGCTGGGGGATGGGGGAAGGGGCAATACGAGAGGACTGAATACCCTGGCCCCACAGCCACTGGCCCTCAGGCTTCTAGGCTTCGTGTTGCCCCCACAATCTTACCAGATCCAGGCTCTGGAGCTTGAAGCCATACACAGCTCCTCGCTTGCTGCTGTTCATGTAGTTCCCTAGTGCAAGTATGATCTGTCCAAAAGGTGCATGGGAGGTCAGGCCAAGCTCTGCGAGCCCCTTCCTTCTCTTTATAGCCCTAGGTCCCCACTCTAATCTGGGACCCACCACACCCCATCCACAACCTCTCCCCACCTCTAACATCTGCTTCAGCTTCTGTGAGGACTTGACAGAGGCAGAGGCTGCAATGATGGCATTGAGTTGCTAGAAGGCAAGAGGAAGAGCTGAATAACCCCAGGCTAGGATGGGGCAAAGTCAGTGAGGAGCTGGGAGGACTGGCAGGGCCAGGGAATGTGACTAGTAGGCGGACAGTGGAGAGGGAACTGCAGATGAGTGTGATTTGGGTGGGGGCCCTACCGGCGTGAGCATCTGCAGGTTGTCTTGGAAGTTGCCCAAGAATGCCATGCCAGCCATTCGCTGGGTCAGCCGTTCCACCTTGCTGAAGAGCAGCATGAAGCGGTCCTCAGCCGCTAGTTCCTCCAAGGGCTGCCGCTCCCGCTCATATTGCCGCAGCAGCTTCACTTCGGCCTCTGTGGGCAGGAAGCGCATCAAGCACTCCACGAAG